AGGAGCGTATAGTTGTAGATGCATACTGGGGGATCAGATCGTTGATGGCCTCAACTCCATCTTTATAGGCGGCGAGGCTTTGTCCAAAAAAAAATTTTTTTTGCGCTGAAAAAATTTTTCTGAAAAAAAAAAAACAGCTCAGCAAGTGGCAAAGGGCAAAGAGGTCCAAATGGAACAAAGGTTGCCGGTGGCAAAGATGAAGCCGAGTCATTCCTTTGTTCCTAGCCTGGTTGCTCTATGCTTTGAGGCAGAGCCCCTTCTTTATTGTGGTGAAAAAAAGTGGTTGGATTCTAAAAAAAATTCAAGAAAATTCGATATTATCATATGTTTTCTTGTTGAGTGGCATCAGCGGCACCGATGTTGTAAATACCGCCCTTTCTCCCTATCTTGGGTTCTTTTTTGGGTAAAGTTACCCCTGCTGTAAAGCTCCCTCCCAAGTGTTAGAGCGTCCAGAAGTACGGACGTTATAAAAATGGTTACGGGATTTTTTTATAAAAAATTGTTGGATGTTTTAGTGGCCAATGACTTTCTTGGCCGGGAGTTTCTTGTAAGAAGATTTTTAAATATTATATAAAAAATGAGGCGCTTGATGTAATTCGTTTTGTTTGCTGCAATAAGCGCACCCCCCGATAGTGTTGTGGGGGTATCAAGCTAATCCTGCTGTTTCGTACAGGAAAATATCTGGGAAAAATTCTAAATATCGTCCCTTTAGAGGGGACTGGAGCTTTTAGCACCTAAAATATATTGTCAAAAGAAAACTGGCAAAAAGAAGCATAATTAAGGACGAAATTGAAGAGGAGAAAGAAAATGGGAGAAAAAGTGAAGGAATGAAAAAAGTTTTTATTAGTGAAAGAGGTAAGTTTCAGTGAGAGAAAAACGCAGTTGTTATAAGGCCCAGCCCCTAGTAATCGTTACTTTTCCCTAAATTTCGTAGTTTTTGGAACCTATCACAGCATAGCTACGTCTTTTACGCTAATTATTACAATCCATACATTTGCGTGATTTGCGTAACTCCAAGTAACTTATGGCATTTTTATACTGAAAGCTAAATTGTATTAAAGAGTAGTTGTTGTTGTGTTGACGCAAGTTTTTAGTGTTTGATTACTAACAATGTTTTTTTTTTTCATAATAAAAAATAAAATCGTTTAAAATGATAAACTGTGGAGATTGCAGGGGAGGGGGTCTGGAAGGTGGGCGCGAGGAAGGGGAGTGAGAGGAGATTGCGAAAGTAGGGAGTAAGAGGAAGGTGTAAGGAAGAGAAGTAGGGGCAGGGAGCGGGGTTAAAATTCATAAGATTTCATCTATTTTTTCAATAATAGAGCAGTTTGGTTTTTAAAATTTCTCACCGTAAAAATCATTTAACGCACTAAAATGATGAATTTAGTGTTCAATTTCCTCAAGATTTAATATTCTTTATTTTTTTAATATTTTTTCGAATTTAATTCTAAAAATTCATCGGTTTAATACGCATTTAGCAGCGAAATAATGATCTAATTCTTAAGTTTCCTCTCTTTTTTTTTGAAGACGATTGCACAGCTTTTTAGGTTTTTTTTTTTAAACTTTTTTAAAAATTAACATAAATCGCTTTTTGGCTTCAGCTTTAGCTGTCTGAAATTTACAGCTATGTGACACACTGAAACCGCAACTCCTATGGTTTTCACTTTTTGAGTTTTTTGACGGTACGTAACCTGATCTAGCCTGACTTGATTTGATCCTTAGTAGAATTTTTGAGGGGCTGTTATTAAGACCGCTGTTTCGTATGGGGTTTTTTTTGCTCTTCCGATGTTTTTATTCCTCCTTGACCTTTTGTAACGAGATCTGATTCGGAGATGATGGTACTGATTGTGAATAAGTAAAAAATTTGAAAAAAAAAAATGGGTCAATTTCAAAAGATTATAATTTCGAAATCGGGGGGAGCTCTGTGGACCCCTAATAATTTGTAAGAAAAGATCCAGAATTCAGCCAGGAAGGCACTGGAATGCGGGAAGGTGATGTTAAAAAGATATTTAGATTGCTGAATTCAACTTCAGGATGCCTAGATTGATGATATTCAGGCGAAAAAATGCCAAATTTTGAACAAAATCGTTAAATTTAGCTTTTCCGGAAGTTAGGTATTCTTCTGTTTTTTCAAACAAGCATTGATTGTGTTTTTTTGCTTATACATTTTCTTGATTGCTTTTTTGGGTTCCTCAGATCATTCTGGTACAATTTTTTTCGTTATTCGAGGATTCCTCAGATCATTCTGATATGTCCTTTTTACCGATCTTTGAATACCTCTGTTCATTTGATACATCCTGTTCATTTATCCCCCTCCCCCTTTTTCCTTTTTTTCCGCCTCACCGGGTCCCTCAAAGCATTTTTGGTCTTGTCATCCATTTTACTTTTTTAGGGCTCCGTGTAACTCAGTACAGAATGAGTTCACTTCGTCTTTTCATTATCGTTGCCTTGCCGTGTTTATCTGATCACATGAAATTTGATTTTTTTGTGATACAAGCCAAACTCCTAAGGTAAAAAAGCAAGCATTGGCCTCTGATTTGGATCTCTATAATTTGTACAGAACTTGTACAGAATTTACACATTTTTGTTCATTCATAATTTGTTTGCTCGTTTAACTTGCGTTTTTCTAACATGACAGTTTTTTAATGAAAAATTTATCAAAGTTGCATTGTACGGCAAAAGATCCAGGATTCATCATCTGCTGACACTCATTTACGAAAAAATGTTGGAAAAATGCTGGTGAGCAACAGTTTCTTAACTACTGTTATCAGACAGACAATTATCACGAAAACATCAGATTACAGGTAATATGTCCTAACTTGTGTACATAGTAGAGCACGGCTTGCACACTTTCCAGACAGGCTCGGCGTTACTCCTCGAAAATTCGAAAGTGAAACGTGCTTTTCAGTTTGGCATGCTTTTCATTCCTTCAAGATATTCGCATAACAGTGTTGTTTTCTGTTCGAGACTATAATTTTACCCTCAATTAGTACCAAAAATTTACCCCTTTTAAATGAAAAATCAATCTTCTGCTGTACAAAAAAATCCAGGCACTGTGGTGAAACCATAAAGTTTTCTTCTTTCCGACCTTCACTTTTCTGGAGTTTCCTACCGTCACTATGCTTAGCCTCAGTTGTCTTTGTTAACTAATGGTAACATAGCAATATTTATGTCATAGAAAAATAACAATAAGAAGC